TAGAAGTCTGGTTAACCCTCATCGAATTTTACATTGCCTAAAAGATTGAAATTTTCAGGAACTATCAAGCAAGGGTCAGGAGTATCAACGTCTTATGAATCATCATCGACTAGCTATGGTGCTGCTGGCGGAGAAGGCTATGGTGGTGCTAGGGGAGGTGCATCTTCTATGAGAACCTCTGGGTCCTACTCGGCAAGTTATGGAGGAGGTGCGGGATACTCCACTGGCGGCGGAGCATATCCAGGTTCTTCATCAACAACAACAATAAAGACTACAAAGGTGACCTCTTACGGCGGTGCTGGAGGTGGAGCTGCTGCAGGCGGCGCTGGTTACGGAGGAGCCGGATATTCGACATCTTATAGTAAGAGCTAGAGATTCGCTTTTATTTATTTGAAACGTTTTTGAACAGTCTTCGACTTTCCAATACTAAATTTTATTAATTAATCTCTCAATTTCTCAGGTGCGGGAGGAAGCTTCAGGACTCAGTCATCTGGGGGTCAGAGTGGATCCTATAGTACAGGAGGTCGGGGATCATCAAGCGTTGTAACCACAGTTAGGAAAACTGTTGTTTCAAGTCCAGTGGTGACGCGGTATGAAACACATACTATTGGACAGTAGAACCCATCTTAGTTTATTAACCTGTGATTCGTCCAAAACTGTACTGTGAGTTGAATGTAGCAAAATTGTCTTTCACTTAGCGAAGACATAATAGTGAAAACTGAGAAAGCAAAAATCAAAAAAGAATTAAAATGAAACAAAAGATTCTGCGGTTTAATTATGCAGAACGCTGGTGATAAAGTAAAACATTTTTTTGTCATTGTGGGTTTTTTTAGAAATAAAACTCATAGCACTGGCTTTGCGTCTCTACACACAATAGCTCAGCATATCAGTAATAGTTGAAGAGCTAACGTATTCTGAAACCAGAAGTTCTTTACATCGTTAGAACACATTTTTAAATTAAGCTTGTATAAAGTTATTTAAACTAAAGAAGTTTAAAATATGTTTGGAAAATTAAGAAATCATAGCCCAATTATTGTGTCAATTGTTAATTTAGCATTTCAAATTATTTCAAACCTTTTACTTCTCTAATGTGTGATGACTTTTGTCGACAGAAAAAATCTATAATTAGCAAGACTATTCTAAATTAACCTAAATTTTTTTAAGATTTATAACGATGTCATACTCATCTTAGGCTACCATTTCTTGCGTACATCTTGATCCATATGATAATTTTTGCCGTTAACATTCTATCTGGTTACATGATAGGATGCTACGTAACACTATTTCTTTTGGTTTTGAAAGACAGCCACTCAGGAAGTAGAAATAAGTTAGTGACTGGTATAAAAAAGTTTTCGGTTTTTTCCACTAGCAATTATGTATGTGGCCGCTATGGTGCCATGAATATAAGGTAAGCACTGGTAGGAAAAACAAATTGGGAAGCCTACCTACATTTCAGACAGTGATTTTTTTATTACACAAAAAATATATTTTGTTGTTTTTTCTTTTTTTTTCTTCGTAAACTGTATAATTTTATTCACCAGCAGATAGTTGACAAACGAAAAGCATTAAATTTCACAAAAAATATTTTCACTCGATTTGTTTTCTAAAAGAATTTGCTCTTTGGACGTATTAAAGCAGCCTAAAAAAACTAGTCATTCAGCTTTAAGATATAAAAAAATGCACTATTTTTTTTGAATTTTAAAGCATACGAGAAGCACGACAGTTTTTAGTGCTGTTTGGATATGTTGAGAACGTTGTAAACAATCATAGTCGTGCAAAGAATGTAAGCGACAAACGATGTAAAAGTTTTTTTCGTGAAACCATTTGCGTTTGAAAAATTTAACCTCTTTACAACTTTTAAAAAACTAAACTTAACTGCAAAATAATAATAAGTTACCTGTAAAATCTAAATTCTTCTATCGCTATAAACTTCCAATTTTTGACGATTTTTAAAGGGTTAATGTACTTTCTTCTTTCGGCAGTGACGAATTGCCAGCTCTCATATGCTTCAAAATTTCAGTAAAATTCACCAAGAAGAAAAACTAATGCTTGTCAAAAAATGGTAAGATTCAATTAATCGCTGTTTCTGCTGTTCGCTAAACAGCAAAACTGCCCTGTCACTTAGCGGCGTCGTCGTCGGTTAAATTCAGTTTCTATAATCTCCGGTTACATCGCATGCCATTGTAGTTTTGCTTTCGCATAAATTACAATAAATGAGAAATTTTTACAACACCTACTACAAGAATAAAAGAGAATTCTGTCCTCACTTCTAAGTACAGCATTTTTTTTTTGATTTAAGATAAACCTTGTCCAGTAGCATTTACTCACTACAATTCAACAACGAGAATTACACTCAACAACTAGACTAATTAATGGTTCGAAAGGTTATGAGTTTTGCATGCGAGCCTACCACTAAAAAAATTAAAAAACTTCAAATAAAAAAATTATTTGAAAGAATAAAGCGCTGCCAAATTTGAAATTCCAGCCTAGCAAAGTGATTTTTTCAGTGTTTCACCGTAATGTCTTCTACTATTTAAGGCTTTAAAAATCTCACGTTGACCGTCAGTAACTGCATTCAGTGGATTCTGGCATTGAGCCGGTGCTTAATTTCAGGCAAGGCAATTGTTCCTCAACAGGAACAAGGAATGGTTTCGTGAATGTGGCAACTACGAATGGGGAACTTTGAACAGTTTTTATAATGCCATACTTAATTAAAGTAGGAAGTTAAGTGCTCAAGAAAATTACTGAATTAGCTTCTATTGTTAACCTAGTGAGAATGATAATGCATAAAGACGATGTGGAATAAAAGAAGTAAAAGAATTTAAGCGGTGGAACATCAAATTTTAGTGAGGTCAATGATGTATAAAAACAGTGTGGAATAGGAGACGAGGAAAATTTAAGAGTTGGAATATCAAAGAACCAAAGTGACGCGATAATAGACAGTAGCAAAACTTTTAAACGAAAAAACATTACCTTTGAAAAACTTTAAAAAGCTGGTTCAACGCTATGCATTATTAAAGTTGTAGCTTATACTAAACCACAAATTACTATTTGTGAATTTAAAAAGACAACTAATCATACATCCGTCCACTCCTAAACCCAGACTTTCAAAAAAAATTTTTAATAAAGACCGGAAAGAACGTTATCGAAAATACTGTGTCAATTTCTTAACCTCTCTAACACGTTAAGAAAAGTAGTGGGAACAGCACTCTGTGAACGTTTCTACGGTGCTACTAATCTAAATCTGCATAAATATTCATAGAATATTTTGCAAAAGTTCAGTAGCCTTAATGAATTCCCACTAGCTCAACAAAAACTCATTTGGTAACATTTTACAGTACTCCCATAAAAATAAATGTACCAAAACAGATAATAGAAAAAGTTTTAGTATTGCTTATTGTAACCTCTGCAGGAAATTGAAAGTTGTTACTCTGTAATCAAAAGTAAGCCATAAAATGACTCCAGGTAATCTAAAGAAAAACAATACCTAAACCGCAAGGCAAATGAACAACATTAATGTCACAAAGGCCAAAACGAAACTTTATTTCTCCTTACAAACTTTTCGCTGCAATTTCTACGTGTCTTTTAACATTTGCGTCGAGAAAGAAAAATTTTACAATGTATATTACAGCTTGGTGATAAAAAATTTAAATAAACTGCCCCACCGCTAAAATCTAACCTCCCACCTACTTCTGATAATTGTTTTGAAAATTTTATTCTTCTTTACTCTAAATGTTATTCCCGCAGCTACTCTGCGCTGAAAGCCTCGTCAGATATTTATATCTTTCATGCAGACGCCTCCAGTGCTTTTGCTAAGTGCTCCATAGATTAATCGATCTTACGTTATCAACTGCAGATCAGTAACAATTGTTTCAAAATAAAATCACCAGAACACAAATAGCGCAGCCTTCCATAAACTAATCATAAAACATTTGATTTTCATATCTACTGAGAGGAGAGGACTTAGTGAGATAAAACAAGAGCTACCCAAAAAAAATATGTTCAAGGTAAAGATTTGCCAGAGCTGATAAGAGCAAAATGTTTTTTTAAAAAATCTTCTTTATGATAGAATTTAGGATCTTAAAATCATCGCCTTTGTAGCTTATAGAAAGTCACCAGACTGTAAAAACCTGTTTTTGGTATTTAACTCCTACGCATTTTCCCTCATCCGTCAGTACCCCAAAGCCTGCCTGTCTATTCAAACAATCAGGTGGGTTCTTAATACTTCTAAATATTTCGAAATCACATCTAAGAAGAAGTTCGCTTTTTTGGAGTATTATGAACGTTATAAAGTGCTGACCGTAGGCTATTATAAGCAGAAAACCTATAATGCATCAAATAAAAAAAAAACTCAGTTTTAAGAAATTGAGCTTATCTTGAAATACATCACTGTTTATTAAGAGCAGGTTTGGAAGAGAAAATCTAGTGAATAGAGCGGAAACCATAGTACACCGAGACTGGATATACTTTACTACATCAAATACCAAAAAATCCAGGGATATGAGGTGATGAGGATGGGGGAGAGAGGAGAAGAAAAACAACGAGCCTTTTACAGTTACGCACCGCCAATTTAAAACGTAACTTTCCATTAAACTTATCTGATCAACAACACAATTAAACTTTTGAATCACAGCGCACGGAAAAAATTTTTTTGAAACTGGTAAAAGATAGACTATCAGGAATATATTTCGTAAGACTAAGGTTTTGTTTAGTAACACTGCTGTTCCTAAAAAAGCCGTTCCAAGAAATTTTGACAGATATAGGTCCCCAACACGAAGCATCACCTGAAATGGAGAAGAAACAGTGCGAAATTTTGAGAAATCGTGTACTGTTTGGTTGAAAACGTATAAGTGTTGAAAAGATTAATTGAAAAAAAAAAAAGTGAACTGAAAATGAATGATTACGTTACCAAAGTGTATAATACAAATCAAAATTCCTTATACGATCTTCCAGGCTGGCTGAGTGAGCCACGCATACACTGAAAGAATCAATGCGGAGTTTTCTACATATGAGCCTCAATTGTCAGGATGGCTTTCAGTCAGTGAAATAATATAAAAAAGCAGAGAAAGACGCAAAGACGCACCATGTCCTGAATTTTGAAATTCCCAAGTTTTGCTATTTTTCGCACTGTTGTGATGTATTCTTTTTTTTAGTAACGTCAACATAAATTATGGACGAGTCAGGCTGTCATATTTGTATTTGTTTACTACATTACTTTGTAAAGTGTAAGGTAACCTTTTTTTCTAAACATTCACATAGCTTTTATTATCTTATATTTGGAAAAAAAGGAACTTAAACATATTACGCATTTAGCAATATATTTGTTCAAGTAGTTGTGCCAAATCAAGAGAAGATTAAAAAGTTTAATAATTTAATGTTTATTAAGTAAAAACACTTACACAGTTAGTAGTAAAAGCGGTGAAATTAAAAGTGTTTTCTTGAAATATCTTTTTTTTTTTTTTGGAATGGATATTTTGACAAATTTTGTTGCTTAAATTGCAAATCTGCTGTTAAAGGTTAATTTTTATACATACTAATTGCTTATGACAATTACGGTTGATTTAATATTGGTATTTTTTTAAAAATTTGGAGTAAAAATATTTGGCCATGATTTGGTT